GGACAGGTGGGAGGAGCATTCATACATTAGTATCCTAAGGCTTAGTGTTGCAATCTTGACTCCAGATTCTGCTAACTACTGCAATACAAATATGCACGGTCGGGTTGTGAAGGTAGATACTGTTGGCTGTCATACAATCTAACATTTTGATGCCCTTTTTGTAATCAAACATCGGAGCACTTGCGATGACTACAAATTGTATGATGTTTTGTAACTCGCGGTGGAGAATGTATGTCCATTGTTCCTCATCTATACAGAGAAGATCAGGGCGTGGTAGATTTATGTTACTTAGGCTCCGTTCGTTTGGCGGAAAATATTCTTCCGGAAAATATTTTTCGGGTTTTCCGGTGTTCGGGGGGCGGAAAACGTTTTCCGTGGAAAAATATTTTCCTTCCCCCCTTCACAAAATAGCCTAAGTCTATGGAAAATGACTTCCGCTTCTTCAAAAGCGGAAATCATTTTCCGGAGCTTCTTCTTCTTCTTCTTCACTAAGGTCGCCGGCCACCACCGCCTCCAGTCGCCGGCCGCCGCCAACGGTCGCCGCCGCCGCCGCCGCCGCGCCCGCCGCCGCCGCCGTCGCCCGCCGCCGCCTCCGCCGCCGCCGCCGGTCGCCCGCCGCCGCCCGGTCGCCCGCCGCCGCCCGCCTCCGCCGCCGCCGGTCGCCCGCCGCCGCCGCTGTCGCCGGCCGCCGCCCGGTCTCCGCCCGCCGCCTCCGCCCGCCGCCGCCGCTGCCGGTCTCCGGCCGCCGCCGCCGCCGCCCGGTCGCCAGCCGCCGCCGCCACCACCGGCGAAAAATATTTTCCGAAACTTTTTCATATTGGTCGCCGAATACCGGAAAATTATGTTCCGGGAAAACATTTTCCAGGAAAATGACTTCCGGGAAAATATTTTCCAAAAGGAGAATATTTTCCGCCAAACGAACGGAGCCTTAGTCTCCTTCCTTTCTCCAACGATCCATGCTGCAATGTGGAAGTTCGTGGTCCCGGCACAGCTTCTTTTTTCACCTTTACCATTATAAAACTGTTCAATTTCAGAAACAGCAGCCAAGAAAGTGCGGTGATCTGACTTGGAGGATGAGCTGCTGACGGAACAAGTCAGGTAGCACGGTTGCAAATGGGAAGAGATTGCAAAATCTCTTGGCAGGACTTCCCGGGCGTGTTGGTCCCGGTGGAGGATGAGCTGATCATAGAGGGTCGAAGACGTTACGGCAAGTGCTGGAAAGAGATCATTGCTCAGTACTTGAGCAACCAGTTGCCGGATGCCATCCGGGAATGGTGGAATCGGCAGTTTCCTAAGAGAGCGGCGGCCGAAGAGGACCAAGGGGTGATGACAGGAGCTGGCGGGAGGGCTGTGTGGAGGAGGAGGGTAATGCCTCGATCCCTGCAGTCCATTGGGCGAGGAGGCAACCGCGATCGTCACGGACGTCGAGAGAGCATTGCCAAGAGGCTCTGATTAACATCTTCTTTTTCATGATATAATGTATTGTAAAATGAAAATTACCAACGATTTTAATTCCAGCACCGCACCACAAATTGTTGACAAACCTTTTACTTTTATATAATTTCATGCATAGCTCCCGCACTGGAAATGAGGACTAAATTCATGTGACAGAGAATATCCTAAAAATAAGGAGAATAAATGCAAATTTAAACATTCTGGGAGTGTTCCCAACCATGTTGGGAACGTATCCTCTATTTGATTGTCACCAAGATCCAGAACTTCCATATATCTGCAGTTGACAAAGGACCGGGTAATGTGCCTGCAAAATGATTTCGACTCAAGTCAAGAGTCGTCAAGCTATTTCTCCAACAAAATGATTGAGGAATTGTGCCCTCAAGGTGATTCATTTGCAAGTTCAAAACTGATAGATTGGTGTTAAAATTTGTAAAGCATTGAGGCAAGGTACCTGTCAAGCTGTTGTTAGACAAGTCGATGACCTCGAGCTTGGTGGCATTGCATATCAAAGGAGAGATCCTTCCTGTCATCTTATTACTTGCAATGGAATAATAAAAAGTCGGAAGGTGGAAGTGGAATTGGCCCTCTAAACTTGTTGTTTGACAAATCTATTAGAACCAATGAGGTATTTGAGAAAACCTCGGTAGACCACTATCCAGTAAAATTGTTGTTGGAAACATAAAATGCTTCAAGAGCAGGGAAGGAGAGTCCAAAGTTAGTAATTTCACTGGTGAAATTATTGTTGCCGGCAACAAAGTAAGAAGTAGAAGGTGGAGGGATGGGGAGTGGTCCTTGGAATGAGTTGTTCAAAAGGTTAATATACCGCAATCGCTTCCAATACAATTGTTGTATACCTCCCTCCAAAAGGCTATGAGAAAGATCTAAGAGTTCCAATGTATCAGGGCTTATCCCCCAAAACCACTTGGGGATCTCCCCACTAATCCTATTAAAAGAGAGGTCTAAGTGTGTTAATATTTCTAACGAATTCAAAAAATAGGGGAACTTGTTCAAGTTGTAAGAAGGCAACCCCAACACTTCAAGCTTCGGGAACGTGTACTGTAGGTTAGATTTAGTTCTAGAGAAACATTAAGTATTCAGAGATTTTTAAACTTTGCAAAGATTTCAAACCCTACAACCCCACTAAAGTTATTCCCGGCTAGATACAGAACTTGGAGTTGCTTGAGATTCCACAGTGATGAAGGGATGTGTCCTGTGAATCTGCAATCACTAAGACCTAACATTGTTAATCTCTTCATGTTACCAATTGAATCGGGTATTACTCCTGAAAAGCTTGTACCGTCGAGACACAAGTACGCAAGAGGACTAGTCCAATTGGATCAGGGAAGAATCATGAACATGTTGGGATTGGAACGTAGACAGAGTAATAAGGCTAGGTAATCAAAAAACAATATCTAGAAACATTCCCCCCAAGGAACAAGCAGAAACTCTTAAATGTGTCAAAGAAGAAGACAATTTCGCAAATGACATTGGTGAAATCGTGGACATGTTTACTTCATCAAGAACAAGCTCTCTCACTACTGTTAGATTTTGAAGAAGCATCGTGAAGATTGTATTTTCCAATACAAGAGAAGAGAATGAGTTTGTAACATCATAATTGTAAGAGAGATCAAGTGACACAAGCTTGAAGAGGTGAGAGATCTCACTAGGATAGCGTACCAAGAAAGTGTGAATGAGAGAGATTTAGATGAGTCAACTTTGCAAATGCACTTAGATTAGGTGAAATTTGTGAGCCAACAAAATTATTACCGGAAAGATTGAGGCTCCGAAGATGTTGAAAGAGAAGGAGGGAGCTATTGGAATGAAGAGTGCCTCGAAGCCAACTGCAAGTAAGATCGAGACCAAAAATGTTGCCAGTGACGCCATCGCAAGTGACACCATCCCATGAGCAACAGTCAAGGCCCTTGTTCCATGAGTTTGTCTTTGGATAAGATGTGACAGGGTAATACAAATCCTCGTCACAACTAAAGTGGGACGCCATGCTATCAAGCACGAAGGAATTTTTAAGGAGGAGCAAGGCATCGCGCTGATCAGGAGGGCAAAGGGGGCGAGGCAAAGGAAAGGGAGGAATGTAAGAAAAAGAGGAAACAGAGGAGGTCAAGGATTTGATTCCACTCCATTTTGCAGCTTAACATGCGAGTGAGTCAAGTGGTGGGAGAGAGTGCTTCAACTTATACTAAGTTTAGTCTTCTAATAAGCCAGGTTATCAACACAGGTCTTCTCTGAAAGGTCTATCGGTGGGCTCACGTAGCCTTCCAACTTCCTCTCCTCCCATCATCTCTGATAAGACGACTTCTACTTGCCTTGTGGGTTGGGGAATGTTTTTGTATTTTTCCCCTAATTACTACCACAAGTATGCCGTGCTTGCAGGGGGCAACTTGCATCGCGTTGATTGAAGTATCCCATTAATTTGATATTAGTTTCTGTAATTTTTTGCGTGTCTTTTACTTGGGTTGTTGAAAGTTCAGTTTAGAAAATAACTATAAAAACACTTGTCGAATTGGACATACAAAATGCAGCCTGTAAATTAGAACTTGAGATCGTATCTCCTTATTACAATCTATATGTTAACATAAATCAAAGTTTATGGGCTTTCCACTTTTCTGTTTTTCATGAGTTGATTTCGAATTAGGTGGAGTTTTATATGAGATTATTTTCATTTTTATTTCTTTCTTAGGAAAAGATATTTGATTGAACTTAAGAGATTATACCATTTAGATAAAGAAATTGTATCAATCTTATCTCTTTGTAAAAATTCAATTTCAAATTAAGTGGAGTTTAGATAAAATTATTTTCATTTTCTTCTAAACATATTTGTTATTGACAACGCAACCTTTTCTTTTGTGTCAATAACAACGCAACCTTGCACATTCTCTTTTTTGATTTTCAAATATAGAATTAAAAGATGTAATTAGTCACAAAAGTAAATGGACTTTAAACTGAGTTATTATACTCATGAAGAAAGGCTACCTGATGAACAACACATAGCACTGTGAAAGCCTCCAGTATATATATTTGGATCACGTCTAGATATGTATGATAGAAGAGTACTTGAGATTAATTTTTCTCGAAGTTGGATTATTGTGGAGTTTAAGATAAAGTGATAAAATATCTTAAGTCTAATAAAGTGCTCGTCACAAATACGGTAACCTCGCAAAGAGGCAAAGGAAAAGACACGGTCTGGTTGATTTCCATGGATTTTGCTGGAGATCAATTGCTCGAGGACATTACTGGGGTCACAAATTTGGTTTTCTTGATCGTCTTCTTGGTGGGGTCTTGAGCGTGGAAAATTCTTAATGTCATAGAACATATTCCTTGGCAGATATTCCTTGGCAGAATGATTATAAGACGTATATGCATTCTAAAAGGCATCGACAAGAACTCAAAGATGGGAGTACTCATGAATTCGCATGCTGCGATTTCCTTTTAACTGGGAGATGTGCTGTACAGGCATACATATAGAAGCAATTTTTTTTTTTGTTGCAAAACGTCTTCACCTTCAATCCTGCATAATTTACAGAACACGGATCTTCGACAAAATCCAGCAATATGGTTTAGTCTCTCTCTACTCTTGATCCTCCACTACTCTGGAGTCTCTGCAGGACACTCTTATTTGTGAACGAATCTCACTCAACATTGAGTAAATCATACTTCTCTGATGGGGTATGCCATCTCTTGCGGACTCTGTAGATTCGACGCCTCCAAGTTGAATGAGGCTGGACCCAACTTCCTTTTGCAAACCCTTTGCCTTCATCATCAACCTGACATTCTCGACAGCATCCCAATTACCTTCGGCTGCATACATGTTTGACAATAGCACATAGGGCCCAACATCTGTTGGTTCCAACTCGATCAAACGTCTGGACACCATCTCTCCTAGTTTGATGTGAGAATGGGTCCTACAAGCGGAAAGTAGAGCACCCCATAGTGAAGATCCTGCCTCTGTAGGTACTTCTTTAATCAACTCTCCTGAATCCTTCACCAGCCCAGCCCGAGCAAGCAAATCGACCATGCAACCATAGTGCTCCACCTTAGGTTGGATATTGTAAACCCGAGACATCATGTTGAAACACCACCAACCTTCCACAACCATTCCGGAATGTGTGCATGCAGATAATATGTTGACGAAGGTAGCATCATTTGGCATTGGACCTCTCTTCTCCATCTCCAAGAACATTTCCAGGGCTTTCTCGCCATGCCCATGTATTCCATACCCCATGATCATGGCATTCCACGAGACAACACTTCTATCACGCATCCGATCAAACACTTTCCTGGCTAAATCCATAGTGCCACATTTTGCATACATTGTCAATAGCGCAGTCGAAAGCAGCACATCAGCTTCAATGTTGTTATCCTTCATGTAAGAATAAACTAAGTGACCTGTATTGAGGTCCCCTGTATTGGCACAAGCAGATAAAACACTCACAAGAGTAGCCCTATTGGGTTTAATCTCTTCCTCTTGTAGCATACTATCAAACAAACTCAAACACTCCGTATAACCTTTAACACGTACATAAAGAGCCAACAAGGTATTCCATGAAACCACATTTCGGAAAGGCATCGAATCAAAAAAGGTGCGAGCCTCTGACACATTTCCAATCCTTGCACACCCATCAATCATACAATTCCACGACACGATGTCCCTAAACGGCATTCTATCAAACAACCATCGTGCCTCGCCCATGTCCCCTCGTGCAACATAACCCGCAATCATTGAGTTCCAACTGAAGACGTCCCTTTCAGTCATTTCATTGAAAAGTTTGCGAGCAACATCCACTTCCCCATTCTTCACATGACCATCAATCATGGAATTCCAGCTAACCAAATCCAACATTGTCCCTGCATCAAACACCAAGCGCGCACTCTTGGCTTTTTGAAAAACCGAATACATGTGAATTAACGCATTCCTCACGAATAAATCCGACTCTAACCCAAGTTTTAACACCCTAACATGAACCTTCTCTCCTTCAGTCAATGACCCAATCACCACAAACCCTTTCACAACAATGGGAAACGTATAGTGATTTGGCGCAATATCATTCCGCACCATCTCGTCATAATAGAATCTCACAGCACTACACGCATCATTCATATTGACATAAGTTCTAATAATAATATTGCACAGAAAAGCATCGGGCTCTTGGGTACACTTGAAGAACATAGCCGCATGAGCAACTTCACGTAAAGAACAGAGCTTCTTCACGGCTTGGCTTGTGGCAAGAGAGTGTTGACAGAGGCGAGTGACAACTAGCTGAGCATGGACTTGGTTGAATTCTCTGATGCTATTACTCGACTCCAATTTGCGTAGAATCGGATGGGCTAACGTCAAAACTTCAACTTTTTCGTCGTTTGTGATTAAATTTTGTCGCTTGACATCGTGAAGCCAGAGTCTCGGTGTGGGCTTGGAGAGGTGTTTCTGGGATTTGATGAATTTGTCGAGAGATAGAGATGAGAATCTAGTGTTTGGTGTGAGTTTCTGGGCAATGGACATGTCGTTCCTGGCTTGTGTTTGGTTTTTCCGGGAAGCTTTGTGCTTCCGATTTCTTAAGTTTCAAAGCTTAGATCATGCTAAAATGTCATGCACTTGACCGATGCTCTCGAGAGTGCAGTGGCTGGGGTAGAGAGAGAGTTCCCTGTCTCGCTTTCCTGAGTAAAAAATAAAAAATACATGTAATTATTTTTTAATTATACGATGTCACCATGAGGCATGCTACATGCGTTATATGCATGACCATTTTTGCAAAAGCTTTCTACCTTAATTCAGCATCTTAGGCTGCGTTTGGTTATCCGGATTTCTAAACAGGATAGGACTGGATAGGATAGGATAAGAAATCCTGGGATTTCTTTATATCATATCCTGTTTGATGGACTACGGATTTAAAGTCGGATAGGATAATTGTTTTTTTGGCTATTCACGGGTCCGGAGGAGTCGGTGAAGGAAAAAAAGCCAAGAAATTTTTTTGGTGAAAACGCACAAGGTGTGGGGATGAAGATGACGGCGAGTGTAGCGTAGGGTTTCTGGAAAAATAGGCATTAGAAATCCTATCCAGGTCTATCCCACCCCCCCTCGGATTTTTTTATTCGGGCTATATCCGGTCTATATTCGACCTTATCCTATCCTTGACCACCACCAAACACAGGATAGGATAAAACATATCCTATCCTGACTTTTATCTGGTCGATCAAACGCAGCCTTAAGGGTATGTCAAGTGCATGCACCCTTATTTATGCATCTCTCATCAGGATACGGATTTTATATTAATAGGTAATAATTTACTTGAAAAGGAAATATGCAAACAAAAACTTAAGCCCATTTCCTAATTCCTTTCTTTCTTTTTGTTATTTTTTTCTTTATTGAGTAAGTTTCTTGCTCTTTCCTAAGCCTCTATTCACTGTCTTCCTCTAACAGAACGAGAACACACCAGATTTTGTTCAACAGCATGGATTTCGAAACTTCAAATTAGAAGTATCACATCATAGCTTCAAGCCATGAACGCATAAGCTTCATTGTTAACCAACTATATTTATCACCGAACTTCCGCCGTCGACCGCCACAGTTCGTCGGAAACTAACTCCCAATATCGCAGGGATGTAACAAAAGCGAATACAATGCATAGAGCAGTAAGAGAAATCAAACCCAGGAACATCTGTCTCTAGTATCATCAAGCACGATGTTGACTCTACCAAGCCTTCCCACATCAGTGGTCGCAGTCAGTCCAACATCGAAGACACAATGCATAAAACAACCAGAACGTAAGGAGCAGGAAGGCTCTCGGCTACCTCATTGTGCATCCAAACCAGGCTTAATTTTTAACAGATCTACTTATCGCGCACGAATCACATCAACACATACCTTCAGTTTGAACAAAATCGAGATTATCTCTCAATCACATCTCGGAAACATTTTATCGAACAGGTGGTGTGCGTTTGTAGCCAAGGTGTGTTTATGGATAACTAAAACAACGATTCATTCCGAGTGGTCACAAACAACCAAAAACTCAGGTTCAGATCATCAACCCAAACTCAGTCGATGTGAGTATCCAAACATTAACGACATCATATCTCCGTACGTTATTTGTGTAAGAAGACCATAAAGAGGAAGTGAGCGTACCTTTGTTCAAAGTGAATGTACTCTTAGCCCGTGAGCAAACAGAAGAGTCAACGATGAAGAACCACACCGATAAAAGTAGATCGAGCGGGAAACTCTAACACTTGAAGCTCTCGATCCGGAAACAGAGTCGAGCAGCGGATTCGCTTGCTCCGCGCCTTCCACCTCTGTGCGCACGGGCGAGCGAGCGAGCGAGCGAGCGTTCCCGAGGGACGAGGGCTGGCCGAGTCGTTCGTCCAGGCTGGGCTCTCGAAATGGGCTTTCTTGATCAATTACCATTGCCTCCGATGGTGGCTAGGGAACTGGATACCAGCCCACGCACGTAAATGGGCTCCGTGTAAACTTTTATCCAGCGTTAGGCGGTTCGCCCACCGGGGGCCATGAGCGACTACGGCGGCTTTGAATTATGCCATAGCAGCTGTGCCGTCAGAGCCAGAAGAGCAGGAGATGCCACAGACTTATGCACTTGACGCCCTGGCTGATGCATCATGCATCCAACCCCGATTCCCGCAGTCTTCCATGTGAGCACAGAGCATATAGTCTGCTAGAATACTCGCCTCGATTCTTCTGGACGGAGTTTTTAGCATCTGAATGAGAAATAGATTGGTTCTGAAATTTTTTTCTGTCGGGCATCTTCTGCCTCTGCTATGTGAATTGCATGCTGATAGGTTTAATTACTACATGGAAACTGTTGCTTGGAATGGAGTCAATTGTCAACGAGACATGTCGATGCGGAGTTATCTTTATGGTCCATAGATATCTCCAGCTACTGGTTCTCACCATAGTGGGTTCTTTGAGAAGTTCTTACCGTCCAGACTGATAAAACTTTAGGCCAGGTGGGAGGAGCATTATTATACACATTCGTATCCCAAGGCTCATGGATGTAATATTGACTCAAGATTCTGGTTACTGATATACAAATATTTAGAGTCCGATCGCAAAGGTAGATGTAAACTGTCCTACAAATTTAACATGTCGATGCCATTTTTGTTATAGAATACCAAAGCACATGAGATGACTTTAAATCGTATATTGTTTTGGAACATGCGATGGAGCATGACTGTCCATAGTTCCTCATCTATACAGGGAAGATCCGGACGTGGTGGATTTATGTTACTTAGTCTCCTTCCTTTTTCTTTGCCCAACGATCTATGCTGCAATGAGGAAGTTCACCGGCACGATACGGCTTCCTTTTTCATCTTTACTAATTATGAAACTGTTCAATTTGAGAAATAGCCACCAAGAAAGCGCGGTGGTCTGATCAGGAGGATAAACTGCTGAAGGAACAAGTGGGCTTGCACGATTCCAATTGGAAAGACTACCCGGGCATGTTGGTCTATCAGGAACAGGCATACCAATGGGAATAGAGTAAAAAAAGAAACTAAATCCACAAGACCATCACAAAGCCCAATCTCACATGAATTCAAGACGCTTTTGCGATCTACAAGAGTCGTATCCTTTTGAAGCTGGCGTAATCCAAACGAGGACTAAATTCACGTGACAAAGAATATCCTAAAAATAAGGAGAATAAATGAAACGAAAATCTTTAAGACTATCACGTCCCCGATTAGAATCCCTTGGTGAAGTGATAACGTGGCTTAATCTATGCAAGATATGTAATCGCGTAACCAGGATAGGCAAAACAAGCTTTATTCGTAATTCGTTCATAAGCATGCGTGGATCAAAGCAACTTAGAAGTAGAACAGTAGGGACAGTCAATAGGATTAGCTAGGACCATAAGACGGCATGGCGGAGCGACAAAAGAGGACCTGACTTGCTCCTTTCCGACCACTCGCCGATGCCTCTGTATGGAAGACATGCTTGTCCTGCGTCCGAGCGGCTGCAGACTCTGCTAAAAGCTCCCCCAACAGATCAAAGATTGCCCTTTCAGTCCCGGATCCTGTGCCATAATTCCCCTGCCCACAAGTTCCAAGGTCATCATGTCGTCCAACAACGCTCGGAGACCCGGGGTTGAACCGCTTTCGTTCAGGGGTACCGCAATCTCTTCCGAGAGCGCGTGTCCTGGTGGTCGGCAGGGAGCCCGAAATCAGTTATGTACAGATGCATGGCTCTTGCAACCGTGCGGCGTCCGTTGACCCGGATTTGGCCAATATCAATCGGGACTAGAGGCGGCTCTTTCTGGTGGAGGGATTGGGGGATCGGCATTCCGATGTCAGGAAGGCCAAGTTGATTCGCAATATATGTGTTTGAGTTTTAAAGGACTCAAGTCAATTTCAAAGGTTAAAGGAAATTTCAACTGATACAGTTTTGGACATAATGTGTTAGCATGATCAAATCATGGTCAATGAAAAAAAATCATGGTCAACGAGTAAGATTAGCTAGACCCTCTATATCCACCCATTCATAACCCGCTTTCTTCAATTTTAGCTAAAGTCCCGTGTGTTTGTTGTGCTCGCTAGAATATGGAATATTTTTGAAGTGCCTAGCATAAGATGAAAGCCCATGTAAACTTTGCAAGTCGAACAAAGCAGAAGATCAAGTTAGGATACATCTGGAATGACTTTTGCATTTTTACTTTTTATTTTGTTCAAATATTGCGGCACATGTACATTGACTTTATTTAAACTTAAGCATTTCAAACTTTCATCATATAAATGTGACACAAAAATATATATTTCCATAACTTTTCAGATTTAAATGATCATTAAATTTTTTAGCAAGAAAGTGAAATACGATCTTTTTGGAAAGTATGAATACTACGATCTATTCCATATGTGGTTTCGCACCTTACCAAAAGTTTATCTTAGGTGTTTGAATTTTGGACATGAGTTAGCATGATCAAATAGTCATAAGATTAGTTACTAAGAAGGAAAGAAGATAAAATAAGAAGAAAGAAGAAAAGGATATTTATTTGTACAAGTCTTTAAACCTTAGATAAGAGTAGACAAATGAAAAGCTAAAGATAATTCAGGAAGAATCAACAACAAGTGTGTTCTGTAAGGAAATTAAGGCTTAAGATACAGATTTACAAGACATTCCGCCCCCCCGTGGTGTGTGCGCTTGGCATAAATCGAGCTGAAGGAGAGAAATGCATAAGCATGATTGCAAAATTTTAAGAGACCCTCCAAGAAATCAGCATGGGTCGAGTCCTTATTGCAGAGTTCTTCGAGAACAAGGAGTTTCTTTTTGTCGTTCCCTGATTCTTTTGTAAAGCTCCGCACATGAATATCGGTAAAATGACCGATTCTGAAGCGTTTCCCAATTCGCATCGAGGAATTGACAGATGAAATTTGTGATCGTGTATAAAGAAACACAATCAGTAAATGGGTGAAAGGGGATTAGGTTCGAGAAATTTCACTCTAACACCATCATAAAATGAGAGCAGTGGATGTGTCTAAATACTTCAACCAACAAAAGAAGACACGTAAACGAGAAGAAAGGATATAAAACTAACAGGTAAAGGAGAATAGCAAGTACAAAACACACTGTTACGGATTCAGAGTCTTTTTGTTACTGTAGTCATAAATCAGATTACTTGATTGGAAATTTTTTGGGGTGCCAATTCTTGTGCCATAGAGATTTTTTTCCTTGACTCAATCCACAAGAGACGCTGGAGATGTCTTCAAGGCATCGATGTGAAATGGGAATTGGCCAGCTGATCTAATAACTTGGACTTCGCAGGTGAATTCCTTCCATTATCATTCAATTCTGCCCATAACACGGTGGGGAAGTCTGTTCGATGTTCTTATAAGCTATGGTAGCATCTTTTATCTATGAGACAATCTCTAGGCTGAATGTGACCATTAATAAAAACATGCATGGCAATGTCCATAACCTTATGGTAGATAAGTACTTTGGATGTGGGTAGTAAATTATTGGGGAGGGCACTCTCTTTTATTATTTTTTAGTAGAATTATTTGGAGTTTGAAGATACTTTGAGTATCTCACTAAACATTTTCTGTTTCACTTTGACCAATGTTCTCTATCAAAGACGATATATAGTGGCTTCCGTGCCCTATCTACTATTGACCTGCAACTTCAAAGATTTTAGTGTCGATTCTTCTGGACATAATTTCACGGCAAATTAATTTATTAACGGCTTTGGCTGAATGGGTTAAAGTCAATATTCACTTCTGATTCTTCGCGGACAAATAAACGCTACGCACACGGGAAGCTGGAATAGATATGTGTAGAGGTTATTTTGCTTCATTTTTGTTTCTTGGCTCTCTTTTTTTTAAGTTGTGTGATTGATGGATCTCATTACTCATCTTCTCAATTCAATTGATAAACAATTGCGCCAAGAAACAAGAAAAGAAGTCATCAGAAACAAGCCTTATAAGGGAAATGACATTTTTGAAGTTGGTCTAGTGACCTGTTTATTCACTGAATTTACATTCCACATTTAAAAGACAACTCCTCAAACAATTTCATTGTCCATGAAACTTCACGGCCTTCTGCTTTGGCTTCTCCATCCACCTAGCTGCTCTTCTCTCCATCTTTCTCACACCTCGAGTGAGACATTTGGGTCTTCCCGTTTCAAATGCAATGTATGCTATGGAAATCCCAATTGAGATTCCAACTGCATAACCGATCCACACTGCGTTCTTTTTGAACCAACTCCCCTGCCCATCGTGGTCAAAAGTTGACGAGGACGATGACGGAGGAGGTTGAGCATCACCAGGGCATGCTTTCGGCAATGGAGATCCACATAAGCCCGGATTTCCTCTAAATGAATCACTTGAAAATGTGCTCAATTGCTTGTCTTGCGGGATTCGGCCGGTGAGTTGGTTCTTCGAGAGGTTTAAGTACCCAAGGAATGCCAAATCTCCTAGTTCTCTAGGAATTCCCCCACTAAACTTGTTTGAAGATAGATCGAGCCATTCAAGATTAGTCAAGTTTCCAAAAGTTGGAGGAATGGAACCTATAAGGTGGTTGTGTGAAAGGTTGAGTCCTAGAAGAAAGTGAAGATGTCCAAAGACTCCGGGAATGTCTCCTTGAAAAGAATTGTGTGACAAGTCGAGGATTGTAAAGGCAGTCCCAATCTTCATTAGCTCAATCTCTCGCCCTTTCATCATCACAGACACTCGAGTTTCATAAGACAACCATCTGAAATACTGTTCCATATACAAAGATTTGTCTTGCCCACTTTCGCCATCCATCATGGCCTTTAGGTTCATTATCAAGTTGATTGGTAAAGGACCGCCAAAGTGGTTGTTGGAGAGGTCCAAAATGTGTAACTTGACAAACAGGTGAGCACCCCTAGGAATATTGAAAAGACCCTTAAATTTGTTGGACCTCAAAATGAGAACTTTTAGTTCTGGGAGTTCTCCCAACCATCTCGGGAATGTATCCTCTATATGATTGTTATCAAGATCCAGAATTTCCAAATATTTACATTTGACAAGGGACCGTGGCAATGTGCCTTCAATTTGATTTTGACTCAAGTCGAGAGTCGTCAAACTATTTCTCCAAGAAAATGATTCAGGAATTGTGCCCCCAAGGTGATTCATTCGCAACTTCAAAATTGACAAATTGGTGCTAAAACTTGTTAAGCACCGAGGCAAGCTACCTGTTAAGCAGTTATTAGACAAGTCGAGGATCTCGAGCTTGGTAGCATTGCATATCAAAGAAGGGATCCTTCCTGTTATATTATTGCTTGCAATGCAATAAACATGTGTGACGGGAGATGGAAGTGGAATTGGCCCTTCAAACTTGTTGTTGGACATATCTATTACAGCCAATGAGGTGTTTGAGAAAACCTCTTTGGGCCACTGTCCGGTAAAATTGTTGTCAGAAATTAACAAAACTTCAAGAGCAGGAAAGGAGAGTCCAAAGGCAGTGAGGTTGATACTACCATGAAATCTATTGGCTTGCAAATAAAGGTAATGTAGTTGTGGTGCTTCTAGCCAATAAGGGAATATATCACTGAACTCATTGTCATTGAGACCTAGTGCCAATAATTTCACACATTTGACTAGAGAGCGAGGTAATTCCCCTTGTAATTTATTGGTGCTCAACCGTAGATTAAAGAGATTGGTCATATTACCAAAACATGATGGTATATTCCCAAAGAGACTGTTATTATACAAACTTAGCTGCTGGAGTGAACTCAACTGGCAAATCCAAGAGGGGATCTCCCCACTAATCCTATTGGAAGATAGGTCTAAGTTGGTTAATCTTTTTAACAAACTCAAGAAATAGGGGAATTTTGTCAAGTTGCAAAAAGGCAACCCCAACACTTCGAGCTTCGGGAATGTATACTTTAGTGTATTGTAGGTTAGATTTAGTTCTAGAGAAACATTTAGCATTTGGAGATTTTTGAACTTTGTAAATATTTCAAACTCTACAACCCCATTAAAGTTATTCCCGGCTAGATATAGAACTCGGAGTTGCTCGAGATTCCACATTGACGAGGGGATGCGTCCCGTGAATCTGCAACCACTAAGACCCAAAACTGTTAATCTCTTCACGTTACCAATTGAATCGGGTATTTCTCCTGAAAAGCTTGTAAAGTCGAGAGACAAGTACACAAGAGGACTAGTCCAATTGTATTTGGGAAGAATCCCGGACAAGTCGAGATTGGAATGTACATTAAGAACAATAAGGCTAGGCAATCGAAAAACAGTTTCAGGAAATATTCCCGCTAAGGAACAAGCAGAAACTGTTAAATGTGTCAAAGAAGAAGACAAATTTGCAAGGGAGATTGGTGAAACCATGGACATGTCCACTTCATCAAGAACAAGCTTTTTCACTTCTGTTAGATTATGAACAATCATTGTGAAGATGGAATTTTCCAATACAAGAAAAGAGAATGAGTTTGTAACATCATAATTGTCAGAGAGATCAAGCGACACAAGTTTAGAGAGGCGAGAGATTTCACTAGGAATGGTACCAAAAAAGTGTGAACGAGAGAGATTAAGATGAGTCAACTTTGTAAATGCAGTTAGATTAGGCGAAATTTGTGAGCCAGCAAAGTCATTACCGGAAAGGTCGAGGCTTCGAAGATGTTGAAGGAGAAGGAGGGAGCTATTGGAATGAAGACTGCCATGAAGCCAACTGCAAGCAAGATCGAGACCGATAACGTTACCGGTGACGTTGTCGCAAGTGACACCGTCCCATGAACAGCAGTCAAGGCTCTTGTTCCATAAGTTTGTCTTTGGATAAGATGTGACAGGATAATTCAAAGCCTCGTCACAACTAAAGTGGGACGCCATGCTATCAAGCACGAAGGAATTTTTAAAAAGGAGCAAGGCATCACGCTGGTCAGGAGGGCAAAGGGGCAAGGCAAAGGGAAGGGAGGAATGTACTAAAAAAAGGAAACAGAGGAGACCAAGGATTTGATTCCACCCCATTTCGCAGCGTAACATGAGAGTGAGTTAAGTGGAGGGAGAGAGTGCTTTAACTTATACTAAGTTCAGTCTTCTAATAAGCCAGATTATCGACACAAGTCTTCTCTGAAAGGTCTATCGGTGGGCTCACATAGCCTTCCAACTTCTTCTCCTCCCATCATCTCCGACAAGACGACTTCTACTTGCCTTGCGGGTTAGGGAATATTTTTGATTTTTTCCCCGACTTACTACCAGAAGTATGCCGTGCTTGCTGGGGGCAACTTGCATCGCCTTGGATGAATGAAGTATCCGATTAATTCATATCTAGTGTCTATACTTTTTCACATGGATTTTATTTGGGTTGTCAACCGTCGAGTGTAGAAAATAGCAACAAAAACACTTGTCGAATTGGACATACAAATCACAGCCTATAAATTAGAACTTGATATCATATCTCCTTATTACAATCTAAATTTTATAATAAATTAAAGCTAATGGACTTCCCCCTTATCTATTTGTTATAAATTGATTTCGAATTAAGTGGAGTTTTTTTTAAGACTATTTTTATTTCTATTTCGTTCTTAGTAAAAGATATTTCATTGAACTAGAGAAATTATGCCATTTAGATAATAAAACTTGTATCAATCCTATTTTTTTGTAACTCCATTTTAAATTAAGTGGAGTTTAGGTAAGAAAATTTTCATTGTCATTTTCTTCTAATCATATTTGTTTTTGACAACGCAACCTTGCGGATTTTCTTTTTGATTTTCTAATCAAGAATTAAATATTTTAATTAGTCATAAAAGGAAATAGACTTTAATCTGAGTCGTTCTACTCATGAAGAAGGGCAACCTAATAACAACCCATAGCCACGCGAAAGCCTAGAGCATTTATTTTTGGATCACGTCTTAACATGTATAAGACAAGAGTACTTGAGATTAATATTTCTCAAAAGTTAGATTACTGTGAAATTTAAGATAAAGTGATAAAATATCTTTAAGTAAATTTTAGTGCTTGTCACATATTATACGGTTACCTCGCAGAAAGGCAAAAGAAACTACTCGATCTGGTTGATTTCAATGTTTCTTGCTGGAGCACAATTGCTCGATGACAGCGGTGCACGAATTTGAAATGACTTTTCTGGGGTCACAACTTTGGTTTTCTTGATGGTCTCGGTGGGGATACTTAAGTGTAGAAAATTGTAGTGTCATAGAATATCTTCCTTGGATTGACAAATTGGTGCTAATGAGTTGGGTTTTACTGGTGATTGTTTCTTGCAATGTCATATCAATTGTTCTACGTATACACAATGCAAAAACCTTTTTAGCTTTTCTTGAAAGATATATTAATCAAGTCTAACAGATGAGAAATTTATCATAGGTGTACCAGTTTAGGGTTTTTGGTTGTAGAAAAATTAGTTGAGGATAAATTTATCAGAAATGTACCAGTTTGGGATTTTTCATGGTATTAACCCTTAAAATGAATTAGAGCTTAAGGACTTCCTAATTATCTATATTTGAATAAGTTAATTTCGAATTAAGAAGATTTTTAGATAAGATTATTTTCATTTTTAGTAAAATATATTTCATTGAACTAAAGAGATTGTACCGTTTAGATAAAAAATAATTTTATTAATCTTACCTTTTTTTGAGAACTCAATTTCAAATCAAGTGGAGTTTGGATAAAATTATTTTCATTTTCATTTTCATTTTCTTCTAAACACACACACACACACACACACACACACACACACACACACACACACACATATATATATATATATATATATATGTATGTATATATTTTTGACAACGCAACCTTGCAGATTTTCTTTGTTGATTTATAAATAAAGAAGTAAAAGATTTAATTAGTCACAGAAGGAAATAGACTTTAGACGGAGTGTTCCCTTATGAAGAAGGTCTACCTAATCAACAACCCATAGCAATGTGAAGGCCTCCAGTATATATATTTGGATCACGTCTAAACATGTATGAAACAAGAACACTTGAGATTAATTTTTCTTAAAGTTGGATTATTGTGGAATTTAAGATAAAGTGATAAATTATCTTTAAGTCCTATAAAATGCTTGTGAAATATTATACAATTACCTCGCAGAAAGGCAAAAGAAAAGACAGCTGTGCACGAATATGAGATGACATTATTGGGGTCACGAATTTCACTTTCTTGATTGTCTATGTGGGGTTACTTGAGCGTGGAAAATTCTTAGGGCCATGGAATATCTTCCTTGGCCGAATGCATATAGGACAGTGGAGGAGCTTTTACGTTCCAAATGGGCATTGACAAATTGGTGCTAATTAGTTGGATTTTGATGGTGATTTTGTCTTGCAATGTCATGTCAATTCTTCTACAACGTATGCACAACGTGCAAATCTTCTCCGCTTTTCTCGGAAGGCATATTAGTCAAGTTTATAGAGGTATTTTTCATTTAAAAAATATGCGTGACTCTGGTCATAAACATCTAGTACACAAATTCGGACAATCTATTATGAAGATGACAGTCATTTATGAATTTTTTCACATAAGATAACTTTGAATCTTTAAACCCTATTTACTATGGCAAACAAGTGTGATGATAGGTACAACTCCAAGATCAACTATTCACCTCCAAGCTCAAAAAAAATTTAGAGCAGGAGAATGGAATGTCTAGTGTTGATCCTTAAGGGATCTATTCCACGGCGTATTCATTCATTAATACCGGCTGTATAGGCTTCTATAGCTAGGTACTCAAATGAGAATTGATAATTCAAAATTAGTGCCTAATTTAAGTTAACAAAAATTGGTCAGTTGGTCTAATATTGGTTCGTCATTGGGGAAAGCGTTAAATACATACTTCATTTTTTACCCAATGAATATTTACATACCTCTATTTTCGCAAATGCTTTTCATATAGCTCTAAACAAAGCCCTACATTAAAATGACCAAATTGCCCACCTCGCAAACTCTTTTTAGCATGTTTGGATGGGTTGGTAATTAATGGGTTTTGAGTGTTTTTGGTGGGTGTGTGAATTTGGGATTGGGGATGGGCATTTTTGAAAAGAAAATGACATTTTCGTTAATAGGACACAATCATAATTGATGCGAGGTGCAAATTAGTCTCATGACCTTGAAACCTCTTTCTTTTTTCAAAATAAGTGACTTTAAAACTTTACAAAGAAAAGAAAAACAATTGCAATTTGGATTTTTCTTACGAGATAATCCACGAGAAACAAAAACTTTCCATAAAGCATTCATACTTAGAAATTAATACGTTTACATGAAGTTCAGCGTATATATTGTTTGCTTACATCCCGCTTGAGCTAACTCCTTCGAATTTATTAGATCGATTATTTTTGGCGAATTTTGCTATCTTCAAAATCGTTAATACATAGATTATTCAGACATATCTCTATGGGATTGACTTCCAAATTACATTGATTCCACCAGAAGAGCAACTCACTTCTTTGTCAAGAGTGACACAATAAAGAGAAACTTAACACTCTGACGATAAATATAGCAATACAGCAATATAGTTACCTACAGAGAATAAGAAGTCACAAACATCTGTAGCAAAAATGATTTGATATGTAGATGGCTTATTCTTGATCAATTGTCTAAAATCTTTGAAGAGGACGGCTTTGTGATTGCACGGCCACGTGGCACGCATTCATTCTATTTTGATTTGTTCAGAGATAAGAATTCCCCAAAAATTTCTTACGTGTATTTAGTACATGTGAGCCGACTCCATCTCAACAAAGCATCATAAATTAGCATCAACCGGTTACAATTGCACTCTATATAACCATATATTATATGAGTTTCATTTCGGTTGTTTTATCTATAGAGGGAGATTGTTGAGTTAACCCTGAGGCTTTTACTTATGACATAAAGTTGGGTGAAACTGAAATTACCAGTTTACCCAAAATGGAGAGTTATTCTCTCATCGCAATGCATTCGGCAAAATCTAGCCCGTTCCTTCTGGAATGCGTTTGCACCTTGCTCCGGAATATCATTTTCTATTGACAAAGTTCATTGATTCTTATTTGTAGACTATTGTCTAAAATATTAGGGGAGAAGTTCATTTCACAAATCCCGTAAAATTTAAAAGACATATCATAAACAAAAGGGTATGCTACGCTCATGAATTCTTTCATTCGCTTACTAAATGCTTTTTTTTTTTTGGCATGATATCTTCCTTATGACAGTTAGTATTCTCCCAAAGTATTAAGTGAAATCAAATAAAATGCTATTAATTTAAATAAAATAAAACAAATAGTACGCTGATAGAGTTACATGGTGAGTTTGTCTAGCTAATAATTAACGGCTATGGAAGGGCAAGAGCTTCTAATTTCTGCAAAGACGGATGGGAGTCCTTACCATCGCCAAATTTGGATCTGCAGCTGAATGTACACATAAGAATCTCGTGCCATATTGTGATAAAAATGAAATAATGTTGGAACAAGTCAGGCAAATTTAAGAAGGAGACTCCGTAAGCGATCACCAAATCATTTGCGTTCCCCATAAGCGACAATTGTGACAGCTAACGTAAAAAAGTTTAGCAGACATCTCAGAGTGAAGAGTAGCCAGCTTCATGCTCAGGCAATGAACTAAAACAAGTAAAGAAGGAGAACTAATCGTCCAGTCTCAGCCCATGCACCCACTCTGCGTCTACGTGTGACGCTTTAACACTCGTTTCCAAGCTAAGTCGCAATAATCAAACTATTACTATATAGTCACGCAGTATATTTAATTGGGGACAGGAAAAAATGCGCAAAAGGCTTGATACACTTACTTTAAAACACAAGCTATCCATCATTTCCATATAGGCAACACATGTATTTAAGGAGAGGAAGTCAGCAAAATTCCTTCATTAAACTTTTAAACAGAACAGTAACAAGGAACTATATATCATACAGAGAAGCGTTTTGGCTTCGTTGCTCTGCAAAATGCCCTGCCAAATGCCGATCGGTGTCCTCGGGTAGCTGCTGCACAAAGAAGCACGCCGCATTCAGATTCAAAGCACAATCCCACGTTTCCCTCTAACCAAACTAACGGACCTCCTCAAACACGAGTTGAATCTAATGAACCAATTAAGAGCTCAAATCAACATTAGGAACACAAACGGCAATCTCAACAAAGATTTTGAGCAAACATAACTGGTTAAGACACCAATGTGCAGATAAACTAGTTAACAGCTCGCATCACCCTCACAAACACAAATCGCAATCGCAAAAAAACTTCCAATGAAACTCGATCAAAACTTGATTGAAGCACATAAATGTTCAGAGGGAGAGTGACCCGAGGAGCTTTCTTGACGATCTCTTGGACGTAATTTTCGCCCAAACAATGGTGACCCACATTGTAGACTTCGCAAATCAGATAGACTGGCTTGGTTTTGGAAACGGCCGCGACGCGCACATTCTCAGCATGCGCACCAGATCGCTTGGCCGCTTGACAGACTTGGATCCTGAGGGAGCGGAGCGCCACTACAGAAGCGCAACGGTTCTCGGTGGTTGCAACTGCTTGGTGTCGTGTCGCGCAACTGTTATGCCGTTCGTTGCTTTACTCAAGATTTTCCACTTCTAGAGGGGTGAGTGGTAAAATCGAATATAGAGAAAACAAGTGAGAAATATTTTGTGGACGCCACATACTCACATTATCGAAAAATAGGTTGTGGCGCATATGAAGCTCAGACCAGTTACTATGCACTTTCATTTTATAATTATATACATGCATCTATCACTTTCTTGCCGGTAGTGTCCAAAGGCCTAACTTTGGTGCAATATGTATAGTCTTGGGATACCCTTTTTTGCACAAAAAAAGTCAACTTCAGAAAAACAGCAAAAAAAAAAAAGAGACAGAATCAAAGGGGAGATCTGCTACTTCTCACCGCGTCATGTCTATCTGTTTCCTATTTTGGAGTGAAGCGAAATACAGCCCTAAACATATTCTGGGCCTAACAAGCATTTGCATTGACCTTTGTTCGCTGAGATCGAGAATCAGATCTCTCATTGCATGGCTTCTGTCTGAACCAAAGTCAGACCATTTGAATGACGAGTGCAGATCTCAATGCCAACAAGTCAACCTTCTTATGTGCCTACTTTTGTAGCGATCCATCGATGTCACCATCACCCACTTTTTCTTCACTCTGGTCTTATCCCCTTTTGTGTGCCATCTTCTCCATGAAAGAACAGACGAAGATTAACTTGCTGTAGATGTATAATATGCGCGCGCTTGCATTCTAAGGGGAATGAATTCGCATACTGCGATTTCCTTTTAACTGGGAGATGCGCTGTACAGGCATACATATAGAAGCAAGAAATATAATTTTGCAAAATGTCTTCACCTTCGATCCTGCATAATATACAGAACACGGATCTTCGACAAAATCCAGCAATTTGGTTTAGTCTCTCTCTACTCTTGATCCTCTACTGCTCTGGAGTCTCTGCAGGACACTTTTATCTGTGAACCAATCTCACTCAACATCGAGTAAATCATACTTCTCTGATGGGGTATGCCATCTTTTGCGGACTCTGTAGATTCGACACCTCCAAGTTGAATGAGGCTGGACCCAACTTCCTTTTGCAAACCCTTTGCCCTCATCATCATCCTGACATTCTCGACAGCATCCCAATTACGTTCGCCTGCATATATGTTTGACAATAGCGCATAGGGCCCAACATCTGTTGGTTCCAACTCCATCTAACGCCTGGCCACCATCTCTCCTAGTTCGATGTGAGACTGAGTCCTACATGCAGAAAGCAGAGCACCCCATAGTGAAGATCCTGCCTCTGTAGGTACTTCTTTAATCAACTCTCCTAAATCCTTCACCAGCCCAGCAGCTGCTACGGCTTTGAATTATGCCGTAGCAGCTGTGCCGCCAGGGCCAGAAGAGCAGTAGACGCCACAGATGCACGCACTTGATGCCCTGGCTGATGCATCCAACCCCGATTCCCACAGTCTTCCAGGTAAGCACAGAGCATATAGTCTGTTAGAATACCCGCATCGATTCTTCCGGATGGAGTTTCTAGAATCTGAATGAGAAATAGATTGCTTCTGAAATTTTTTCTCTCGGGCATCTTCCGCCTCTGCTCTCTGAATTGCATGCTGATAGGTTTAAATTACTACATGGGAACTGTTGCTTGGAATTGATTCAGTTGTCAACGATGCATGTCGATGCTGAGTTATCTTTTTGGTCCATAGGTATCTCCAGCTACTGGTTCTCACCATAGTGGGTTCTTTGAGTAGTTCTTGTTGTCTAGACTGATGACACTTGAGGCCAGGTGGGAGGAGCATTCATACATTAGTATCCTAAGGCTTAGGGTTGCAATCTTGACTCCAGATTCTGCTAACTACTGCAATACAAATATGCACGGTCGGGTCGTGAAGGTAGATACTGTTGGCTGTCATATAATCTAACATTTTGATGCCCTTTTTGTAATCGAACATTGGAGCACATGCGATGACTACAAATTGTATGATGTTTTGTAACTCGCGGTGGAGAATGTATGTCCATTGTTCCTCATCTATACAGGGAAGATCAGGACGTGTCAGATTTATGTTACTTAGTCTCCTTCCTTTCTCCAACGATCCATGCTGCAATGTGGAAGTTCGCGGTCCCGGCACAGCTTCTTTTTTCACCTTTACCATTATAAAACTGTTCAATTTCAGAAACAGCAGCCAAGAAAGTGCGGTGATCTGACTTGGAGGATGAGCTGCTGACGGAACAAGTCAGGTAGCACGGTTGAAAATGGAAAGAGATTGCAAAATCTCTTGGCAGGACTTCCCGGGCGTGTTGGTCCCGGTGGAGGATGAGCTAAACATAGAGGGTCGAAGACGTTACGGCAAGTGCCGAAAAGAGATCATTGCCCAGTACTTGAGCAACCAGTTGCCGGATGCCACCCGGGAATGGTGGAATTGGCAGTTTTATGATGTAGAACAGTTAGCCTGTGATTATCTTGAACAATGTGATCGCCGTAATCATCGGAAATCTCGGCAGTTTTTCTGATTTTGGGGAAAACAACCATTCAAGCAGTTTCCTATATTATCATTTAGGCAGTTTCCTATATTATCAGTTAGGCAGTTTCCTATATTACCAGTAAGGCAGTTTCCTATATTATCATTTAGGCAGTTTCCTATATTATCATTTAGGCAGTTTCCTATATTACCATTTAGGCAGTTTCTTTAATTATTCGGTTTCTATTAGTATTAGGAGTCCTATCTCTATATATAAGATGTCTGTCTTGTAATCAAGAGCACAGTATTATTGAATAAAAATTTCAAGTTTTTTGGAGTTGTTCCAAATTTACGCTTCTCTCTGCGTCATTTGGTATCAGAGCAGGTTTCTCCTGTGACGATGGTGAATAACGTGAATGTCAATCTCCCCGCTGCTGAGGGCCGTGAGAACGAGCCTATTACGCGGGCTGAGTTCAATCAGTTCGTGGATCAAACCGATCGGAGGTTTCAAGAGATCCTTGATGCCATCCATCGTTTGTCCACAAACCATGCGCCTGGCGTTCTTCCAGCCGAGCGAATTCCTGTCGTTCGTGATCCCGAAGATGCTATGGGGCGTGGAGGAATTCCCCGACATAGGCGTCAAGACTATGTCGAGGATACGGAAGACGAAGACGATGATTTCCAGGAGATGCAGATTCGTGGTGGTCGCCGATACAGGGGACTCCAGGAGGAGCATGTTCGTGGGAATCGACATCAGGGAGGATATCGACGAGATCCTGAGCAATATCAACTAAAGGTAGATCTCCCTACTTTCAATGGGAATTTGGATATTGAAGATTTCCTTGATTGGCTTTGGGAGGTCGAGAAATTCTTCGACGCTATGGATATTGACGAGGATCGCCAAGTGAAACTTGTGGCGTACAAGTTGAAGGGTGGCGCTTCAGCTTGGTGGGAACAAAATTTAATTGACGCGACGTCGACAAGGCAAGGCTCCTATTCAACCTTGGGGTCAGATGAAACAGGAGTTGAAGAAGAGGTTCCTCCCAACCGGACTATGAGCAACTGTTATTTCAGCAATTCCAAAATTGCCGACAATCGAATAGATCGGTCCAAGCTTATACGGAAGAGTTCCTTCGACTCTCCGCTCGTAATAACCTGGATGAGTCCGAGGCACAACAAACTGCTAGGTACATTAATGGTTTGAGACTTAATATTCAGGATCGGGTTTCTTTGCATCGACTATTCTCTGTCGAAGACGCCCAGGATATGGCGCGAAAAATTGAGGTGCAATTGGAGAGGACTAGCCTTAGTACTCGTGGTAGCAATTATTCGGGTCGTGGGTCATTCGGGAAAGGAAGACAGCCTGATATTGCAAGTTCTAGTCAACAAACACCTGATTCGAGCCGAGTTCCAGGGGGTACTAGTGGGACGCCTAAGGAAGCAGTCGCAACAATCAATTGCACTCCCAATTATAATACCCAGAATCCATATGCCAAGCCCCAACCGATCAGGTGCTACAAGTGTAACGAGTTAGGCCATCGTTCCAGCGATTGTCCTCGTCGTAGAATGGCCAATATCGTTGAACATGACGAAGATGTGTATGAGGAAGATTGGGAAAAGGAAGAAGAAGTGGGAGTGGAAGATGAAATGGGTGAGCAAGTTAATTGTGTAGTGCGTCGTCTATTGCTTACTCCGCGGACAGAAGATACCCATCGGAATCAGCTTTTCCGCGCTCACTGTACTGTCAACAACAAAGTATGCGATATCATTATTGACAGCGGAAGTTGCGAGAACATAGTGTCAAAGGCCTTGGTGGATCACTTGCAACTAAAGACGGAGCCGCATCCCGCGCCCTACACGATCGGGTGGATACGCAAGGGAGCAGAACTTAAGGTAAACCAATTATGCCGTTTGCCTATTTCAATCGGAAAATCATATCAAGATACTATTGTCTGTGATGTTGTGGAGATGGATGCGTGTCATGTTTTACTGGGTCGACCATGGCAATATGATGTTGATGCTACACACCGAGCTAGGGAAAATACGTATTCTTTTATGTGGAAAAGGACTAAAATTACTTTGAGACCGAAGAGTAATTCCCCTCAGATTGTGAAGAAGCAGAACGCAGGGGTTATGATGAACATCCGAAAGCGTGAAGGGATGTATATGATTGTGGACAAGGGCGATCAGCAAGTTGTGGTTCGTGTTCCCGACATTCTTAAGCCCTTATTAAAGGTATTCAGTGATGTTATGCCTGAGGATTTACCTGACGGCTTACCTCCTTTGAGGGATATCCAGCATGAGATTGATTTTCTTCCAAGTGCTAGTCTTCCTAATTTGCCGCATTATCGAATGAATCCGAAGGATAATCAGATTCTACAGGAGCAGGTGGGAGAGCTCCTTCGAAAGGGCTTCTTGCGTGAAAGCAAAAGTCCATGTGCAGTTCCTGCGCTTCTCACGGCAAAGAAAGACGACACCATGCGTATGTGTGTAGACAG